ATGGGACAAAAAAACATTTGTTTCTTACAAATACACTGCTTTTTGCTTCACAGGACGTAAATTGATGGATTGGAGTCGTGTGAATTACTTGTGGATTATTGTGATGTTTTTATCAGCTGTTTGAACTCTTATTCTGATGGTACACATTCGCTGCAGATGATCCATTGGTGAGCAAGTGATGCAATGTTAAATTTCTCCAAATCTGTTCTGATGTAGAAGCAAACTCAATCTACATCTTGTATGGCCAGAGGGTGAGTAAATTTGCAGCTAACTTTAATTTTTGGGTGAACTATTCCTTTAATTTTCTTAACTATTCCATCGATTTGTGATTATTGGATAAAGATTTTTTAAATACATTTCATAGAAGACTGCAGTTCAGTGCAGTACCCTCTGCGTCAGTGAACTACCATACAACAGTGTGTACATACCGAGTTTGTTCCCAGGATTTGCAGGTTGGGCTTGTCAGCCTCCAGGAGTTTCCGCACCATCTTCAGGAAACTCTCCACGAACAGGTTGATACTCTGACAGTGGCAGGCCATTAGCAGCTGGTCGAGGGCTTCCATCGCAATACACACATACCTGAAGAGACAAACACACATTGAATACGGGCAAGAGGAGCAAAAGAAAGAAAAACAGGTGTATTACATATCACAAGATGGGTATATCAGATCAGGCTTATTATGAATTTAGGTACCCATAACGGTGTCTAGCTACGTCACGAGACAATCTCTCAGACAGGTACGCCCCGATACGATCCAACTTCTCTGGAGCTGACAGAGCATAAAAAGTCAGCTTCTCCATGTTGGCCTTTACCAACCCATCCTACAGACAAACAGACACACAGACACACACACACGCACACACACAGAAAGTATCAATATCATCAACACAGCACACTTGGAACAGGGCAAGAATGACATGTTTCAATCTTTTTGGTCTTGATTATCAGTAAAAAAAAACTTTTAGTAACTGTAAAAGTCTGTTATCATACAAACGTTTGGTGTTGGTAAGTTTTTTTTATGTTTTTCTTTGATGAAAAAGAAGTTCAAAAGAACAGCATTTATTTGAAAC